ATCTGAATCAGGACAAGAACCTGAAGTATACATATCAAACAGCTAGTGGTCACTGAAGAAGCCCGTTCCATAAAAACACAAAATAAGAGCTTCATACAATGAAAGGTACCGTAGCTTTATAGATTGAACGTGCTGCACAAAATAAGGTGGAACCGCGTGATGTCAACACAAATCCTTCCACCCATTGAGGATTTCATATCATAATGCACTGAAGCTGTGTAACAAGGGAAAATATGCAGGATGCTAGTTGTAGCATGATGTCAATGGCAAACTGCATTGTATTGCATATTGTACTGCACTCTTTATGAAGTTATAAAAAACATTTGGAACTTGATGTCAGATTAGGAAGCTGTGTCATATGGAATAAATTTGTGTGCTTGAATAAAATTTTGATCATTTAAACGAAATCCAACAAGATGACATAAAAATTGTTACTCTTTAAACAGAAGCCAGAAGAGTCAGAAAAGGATGAAATGCCAGGGAAAGGAAAAGTGGAGAAAAAAAATGAGTAACAGAGAGAAGAGAAAACAACATCCATCGTGTACTTGATTTGTTCTATGTTTTAAACGATTTGGCCTTAGAAGCATTTCACCAGCATTCGAATAGTAATAGTGTACAGGCCAACTCCATCTCCTGCTAACCAAGATTAATTTACCCCCTTTGTCCAATTCAGCAAAATGGAAATGAAAATCAGCCTTATTTACTGTGTTTGGGGATTTCTGTGCCACACTATTCTTAAATCAAAAGATGGATAATTTATTCATGTATTAACCTGCTGCGTGTGTGCTGGTTTCATTTTAGCATCATTGGTTGTTATGTTGGCTTCTCTTTTTTTTTTCTTGCTGTGTGACAAAGGAACTGATGTTTATGAATATTTTGGGTTTCATAGAAGCAGAGTATCTACCTGATCTACGTCCACGAAACCCATTTAGACAGATGGAACCTTTGTCTTTCAGGCCAGTTGTTTGTTTTTTTCAATTTCATGACAGTCTGATTTATCAAACTGTTTTCTTTGCTGTGTTTATGAAGGAACAATAGATATGCTTGAGATTCTTTTTGTCTGTCAAAGTATTTTCATACAAAATTGTTTTGGGGGGTTTTTAAACTGTTAATTCGGTCTTTCGACTAGCCTTATTGATGTATTTAAGTCCTTTAGAAGGATTACTTAGCTTTGTGCTCAGAATTCAGTACTGTTTGTCTAACTAGTTAGCACTGAAAAAAAAAAAATGTATGTGTGTAAATTCCACATAAATAGAAATAGAAGACCAGAACAAACGCTAAGTTGGCTAAAAAAAAAAACAGCAACAAAAAAACAAGGGAAAGTGCCTGCTCCAAACATCCAACAGCCCTTCATGTTTTGTTCAACATTTTAATATTTCACAAGGCCCTGTACTGAAGAACCTTTCAGAAATAGCCAGTTTCCAAGACTGGCAGTAACTTTTAAGCATAAGCTGTTTTTCTGCAAGAACCTGCCAGGTGGGATGGAACTTGATCAAGCTCGTAACCCACTTTTATCGCAGATTAAGGAAAAGATTAACAAAAACGTGAAGGTTTGGAGAAGGTCAATATCAGATGATTCTGATTTGTTTGAGTCATCTTCAACTTCCATCCAATTATCCCTTCTAAGTACAATCTTTGCAGTAAAACAATAATTATTATGACTACATTATTTTGATTTGAATCTTTAAATCTCTGGTTATCCAGATCACAGTAATCTTGATCTGGATAACCAGAGTACATAGAACAAAATATTTATCATTTGATGGTAATTCACCCTCATGTCAGGAACCTTATTTGCAAAGATAAAAAAAATAAATGCAAGACAAATGAATTATCCTTCACCAGTTAAGTGGCAATTAACTAAGGTCTGTGTTTAGCTATCTGTGATGTTTCCCCACAAATAAACTCCAATCTGTTATTTTTTCTTTCCGTTTTGATTATACAATTCATTAGTTTCCCTCACACTCTTGTATCAATATTTCAAGTTGTATAGTATAGTAAATCATTCTTATAGTATATATAGTATTTTTTCCCAAAAGATTTTTTTGGGTGAATTGTTATCTGGCATGTGGTACGGTAAAACAAAATAGCCTCGTGTCAGATTGGTAAAAATGTTTGCATCTCCAGGCCATTTTTTAACCTGGGGAAAATGCAAAACTAAAGAGTATTTTAAAACAAGTTGGAGGAACACAGTTTTAAGGTTGACAGTCTTCATTCTCACACCCAACTACCCTTTCCAATTATGAACATCCCCCATTAATTGTCCATATGGTACATTAACACAGGAGTTGACAAGCACAGTAATAGGAGTGATGAAATAAAAGCTGTGATTAATATTGTTATCAATCGTCAAAAACTAATGAATTGAAGAAACAATACCTTATTATGCACATATTACATGACTGCATTTTGTGCGACAGGTCAGTTGTGTGCGTGAACGAACAAAAGAAAGGCTGATTGATTGTGACCAAGTCATGTGGTCAGCAGGTCTTTTAGGATACGAGTAACGCAATTAGAATTAATATCACCCTTCTTACATATCATTTAGTATTTTAATGGTCTGATAAGAACCACCGTTAGTGTCTAAACCACTGATCACCGAGATCTTTTCCCTGACAAGCAAGTTTAAATGTCTAGTAATGAACGCACAACCACTTTATATACGCTGTGCTCTAGGCCATATGTCTACAAGCTGATATGCCACCATTGGATCTATTGCCCCAATATCTTAATTTTAAGGGTGAATTACTAAATATGCGTTCAAAGTATCATCCTGTCTCTTGACAAATGTAATTATTAAAGGAGGAGTCTTTTTTCAGCTTAGTGTTGAAACTGGGCAGAAATAACTAATTTGAATTTTTCAAATTATTTAATCAGAAATTAAACCAAATTTGTAAATAAAATATGATGCTGAATCTACACTTTGTCAAAGATATTTTCAAAGAGTATTTGCTTCATTATGTGAACCTCCTTGTCTAAAGGGAGACCTAAAAATGAGTCCAGGTTATTGGCAAGGAACATACCCAGTATGTATTATTCAGGGCTTTTTCATTGCTGACTTCTTTACGAGAACTAACTCACATTTGTTTCAATGACACATGAAGTTAGGTTTCTATGTTCATCTGTTGGAAAATGAGAGTACTGAATACTGAGCAGTAAGATGGATCATTGTGAGAATGCTAATGAGTCACTTCCTTAACCAACACAATGGCAACAACCTCATAAAAAGACATTTTATGATCTCTTTCAAAAAAGCGTTGGTTAAGATAAAGCACCAATGGTACCAACCTAACATTGGCAGTGAGCACAAGAAAGGAAATGAGTGTTATCTGTAGCACCTTTAGCTACCTCTTTGTGATGTTTGAGTCGAAACATCTTTTGGCAACTCTATTGCAGGGTACGGCTAAATGAATGTAGCTTAAAGTAATGGAGATCTAATGTGATGTTTTCAATGAACCCTTGTGCAAGGTGTTGGATTCAGTAAAGAAATAACAGGCTGCTGCAGATGTAACACTCCTATATTATGTACAACAAAGACGGGAAAAAAAAGAAGAAAGAAATCAGTTTTAAGAAATTACACAAAAAAAAAAAGGTGTTTAAAAAAGAATTTGACATGTGTTAAATGAAAATGGACTGAATATGCTCTGTTGATTACAGAATGGACCTATGCATTATATGGTAAAATTTCAACACAACACACCAACAAATTGCATTCTCATGCATTCTGACCAATGAGAGCACCTTTGGCAAAGAGAGAACTCCATGGCGTCTAGTCAGCATACTGGTAGAAAAGCCCTGATTAATGTCTGAACAAAAATTACATATTGATCCACTGAGGCTGATTAACAACAGCCTCATTCAACACACCTACCAGGCCAGAGGTGACCACATTCACTTAATAGGGGAAAGTTAAAACTGATAGCTAATCAGAACATACTTGCATAAATCATGCTCTTTAAGGTGTGATTTCTGATCAATAACACATTTATTTTTGGATGAACCCAAATGACACTAAACATAATAACTTTAAAACAGATGTTTTTGAGAAATCCTTCGTAGATATCTACCCCTTCTTTTGCCCAATGACACCTGTGACATGGAATTGGAAGGTATAGCAAATTAACTGATGAATGTAGAGATGTTTATGGTGGAAAGCTACAACAATAGTAAATAAAAATGTTCTTCTAATAAAGTTTTGCTGAAAGAACCTGGGGCTGTGAAGTTTCTATAGATTTTAAACTGATGCTGACTTCCATCTTAAACCTTGTTGCAGACCAAACACATCACCCCCTTATGGCTCTCACATTTGACAGCAGCTGATCCCCATTGGTTGATATTCACCACAGTAACATAAACACAACTCAGGCTGAGGTCAAGTAAAACATATTGACATATTGGTAAACTTGAGTATTTCATAAAATCTTCTAAAAAGCATAATCTAGAGCCAACAAACCACAACCTATCAGACTCCAGCAATCACAGGAAAACTTATCAGTATCAGACGCCACTGAAAATGAGCACAGCATTGAAATTCATGTCCCGATAGTGAAGCAGGGGATTTACACTCTTACGGCTAGAAGAAATCCTTTTGGAATAATCTTAAATGCAAAACTCATAAAAAATGCTATGGAATTACATAAGAAAACACATTCAAACAAGAAATTCATGAGATTAAGGCCGAGATGGGGTAGTTTAGAAACAATGATAAATCTCTTCCAATATGTTATCCATTTATTTCTGGCTGCAGCTGAAGAACATGTCACAGATTTTATGGGTTCACTATCATTTGGTAGCACAGCATTTTAGATGGCTATATTTAGAACGAAAATATACCATATATCATTTAAGCACATAAGGTTTATCCATACTGAGGAATAATGATTAACATTTTCTTTCAGTTGTTGCTTATCAAATACAGCCAGTAATAGAATAAATAAATAAATATTAAAACACAGCATGTATCTTATGTACTACAGGTTCACCCACAGAATCCATCTTACCTGATCCCATGGACAGACGATTCCACCAGAAAACATAAAAAGGTAACCCATGGCAACCAAGCAAGCCCAGATGACCAAGGAGAAAACCCGTAAATGTTTCTTGAAGATGGACTCAATGCAGACGAGTATAAACACAGTCAGGAATATGGCCAGTGCTGTTGGAACTGTGATTACAAAGGCCACATGGTCTGTGATGCTCTGAAAAGGATATGACAGACAAAAACATAAGAGAGTCTGTGAGAAATGTGAGCAAGTCATTTATGAGGAAAGTGGTATTTATAAAATGTATAATCATAATACTAAACACAAAAAAATCTATGCTTGCAAATGATAAGAAGAAAAACTAGGAAATTCAAAACAATTTGCTGTAAAAAGCTCAACCTGAATTCTTAAACATGAATCCAAAAAAAGTTACCACTTCATTAATACACACTTAACTGCTAAAATATTTATCTGAACATCGATATGTTAATTATGGTAGACAAGAGAGAATAACCGTGGGATTAGACGTTTGTGATGTGAGGTTTTGACATGTGCTCTATATCAGGTGTGGAAAAGGATCATAGCAGATTTATACTGGATTCAATTTTCAGTAAAAATTTCCATCAAGGATCTTTTTTTTTTGTCTTGATATCTAAATATTCAGCATAACCTCCATCTACACAAGGAAAACAAAATCTAAATGGATGGAATTATTATTCCATTGTTTTTTCAATTCTAATGTCACAGCAAACAATAAATATCAGAAGAATATAGGACATTTTATCCTCTTATCCTGTCCATAATTTTCAAATAATGATCTATTTGTGCTTTCATTGCTAATGAGCACATCTAATTCTCATTCTGGATTTGCCACCCAACACAGAGACATGACGCCTTGCATGTGGCACGCAGAGAGCCACATGTAGAGTTTGTTTTGCCCAGGGAAGAGCTCCCAAACATCACTGGATTTAGGTCAGCCAGACACTTGGATGGAGGGATACAAATGAAAGGCACAGATAGATGCAGAAACAATAGATAGCTTGGCACTGGGAAGAAAGAAATGGAAAACAAAAAAGGTAGAGCTAAAGGAAATAATATTTTCAGCATCAATTGAAAGGAAATAGTTTCCTCCAAGCCAATGATCTCTTGACAAAAGCATCAATGCACCTGAAACAATTATGCTTGAGCCAATTGCTACAGCTGCTTGTCAACTTGAATTTTGACAACATACCATGGTCAGTCAGATATATAAAGCTATAAATGATGACGATAATAAAATCATTTTAATGACGTGGGAGTTTACGAGTGGATGAGATTTCACACTTCAACTGATTATTGCAGTCACAAATTGAAGAACTAATTGGTGATTTAATTTGATTCTTGATTTAATAAATATAAAGTCTTCATTGTGAAGGTTGTTCAATCTTAATCATCTTGAGAGAACATTTTATGTCATTTTTCTATTTTCCTATGTGGTCGTCATTCATTTCAGATCAACTGTAAAAACAAAACGAAAAAATAAAGAGAACATCTGATAAACCATTTGTTAGAATTGGGCTATAGTAATTTAGATCTTACACATTCAAACCGAAAATCCTCAAGTGCAACTGTGTTTTGAAGTAAAAGGTATCGTTGTTACATCGCAACCGATTTCACTTTTAGAGAGACTCTTTGTCTTGTTTGAGTTGTAGATTGATCATTTTGGTTTCTGCTGCTATTCTGGTTTACCTTTGTCAGTACAGCCATTACAGCTTCTTTAAATTCAATATTTAGGTGCATTTGTGTGAAGCACGGCATATGTATCAGTGTTCTCTGCATCTTACTGTCTATACAAATTAAAATCTTAAGAAAAAATAAATCACAAGTGATAAGAGGGAGGGGGGTTTCTCTGATTTGTTTTGTAGGATAAAGAGAGGCACTACTCATGCAATAACATGAAGTATAATAAAGACCTGTTAGCAAAGGGACCAATAATCAATGCAGACGTATCACATCACATCTATTTTAGACGTACACGGTGAGGCAGGTTATTTCAAATGTAGAGCAATCAAAAGGTAGACTTAAAATAGTTTAGCTATTTCAGGATCAGGTTATCTTACACTGCCATGCTGTCACTGCTTTACAGTCATCACGGTTTTAAAGCAAATATAACATCAAAACAGTGAGAGTAAAGTAATTGTTCAGTCAACCATCAGCACTGACAAAAACTATGCCCTTTATCCTCCCGTCCTCACTCCTATCTCACCCTTCACTTCACATTAGTGCTGCAATGAGGAGTGCATGCTGTGAAAGTCTACATGTGGGTGAAGATATTTACTGCACAGGCATGTATGTGTATATGAAAGTTTGTGTGACATCATTTCTGGGCAACAAAATATAAAATACGTGACTCTATAGGTGTACTAATACCAAAAAGCTTGTGCCCGATATGGTTTTCATGCATACAAAGCGATTGTGTTTCATATCCCACAAACGGGAGACGCTGGAATCTAAAGCAAACATTACGCGTGCATGCTGCCAAATGTGTGTACATTTATGAAAGTGATATTTTTTCAGTTCAAGTTTTTCTCTCTGCATGTTGTGAATGAGCAGCTTACCAGCCCTGAAGCAAAGAACACAGTCAGCAGAGCCAGGCAGGCTCCCATCACTATGAGGAGCAAAAACACAATGAGAGGATGCTGCTGGCTCATGCAATAGTAGGATTCATACAGCCAGTCCGGTGACCTGCTCGTCTTCTGCCCACCACCTCCTCCTTTGTTCACTTCGGACTCCTCTGTCCGGTCAAGCAAATATTGCTTTCTCGTTATTGCCTCTTGCCACATGGATCTTGGAGCAGAGCGAGAGGAAAAGGAGGGGGGGAATCCAGAGGAAGAAAAGGAGGTGGTCACTGCTGAGGTGTTGGTAGTTTCCATCACAGAAGAAAAGCAGGTGGTATTATGTTGTCCTTTCCTGCTCGTGTTTCTGTTGGGGACCCTGAAGCGAGAGCCCCCGTATTCCAGCTTGCTCTTTGGTTCCTTTTTCACCTCTTCTCCTAAGTCCTGCAGGCGGAGGCAACTGAATGCTGACTCTGATTCCGAGGCAGTGTGTGCTGGCCGGAGAGTTGGCAAGAACGCACCAAGGGAAGAGCGCAGCATCTCCCTCGTTCTCCCCCTGCCAACATGTTGGGGAGGAAAATGAAGCGAAGCGAAGAGCCTGAGTGCTCTTTAGAGTGAGAGAGAAAAGTGGGAGGGAAGTGAAAGGAAAAAGGAAGGGAGAGAGGGCTAAGGGGGAGGGGAGGAAGAAAAAGAAGGTGCAGCAGGAACGAGTAAGCCAGTTAGGGGAAGAGAGGAAACAAGGGGAAAAAAGGCTGAATTTCCAACATTCACTGAAATTTCATCATGTGGCATCAGTCTAAATAAAAATGGATTACATACGCATATACATGTGTGTACGTATTTATTCAGACCTGAAGACTGAATTTTCAGAACCATCCATACAATCTTTCAAACCCCCTTAATCCATTTTAGGCTCACATGGGGTGCTGGAGACCATCCCAGCTGTGATTGGGTGAGAGGCAGGGTACAGCCAGGTCACCAATCCATCACAGGGAGAGGGGAAACTGTGCTAACCACCACACCATCCAGCCCATTCTCCAAACCAGCCTCATTGTCACTTACATTCTTCTGACACCCTGCTCCTTCGGCAAAGTTGCAAGTAGAGGGAGGAACCTAGAAAGTGATGCTTTCTAGGTTTATTTGGCATGTGTTTGAGGTCAGCACCCCCTCCACTAAAGTGAAGGCAAATGTCCAAAGAGAACCCAAAGAGACCATAAAACATCAGCAAAACAACAAATGAACAAAGCACTGACAGAGTACAGCCGCACAGCACGCCCACAATAGAAACCTTACTGGAAATTGTGGGGGCAACACTGAAAGAACTCTCCATAGAATATCTGCAAACATTTGTTAGCTTTGCACCACTGTACACAATGCATTTCAAAGCAATTATCAGAGCATTTTCACACTCTCCATTAACTGCTCTTATCTGTATTCTTTCCCATCGTGAATTGAAAACTGGGCATTGGACAGTGCTTCGTTTTATCATTGTAATCACGACACTTATTCTCCCCTTTTTATTATAAAGTTGAAGTCAAACGGTTTAAACGGTAAATCAAAAAATTGAACGGTATAATTCAGTCACATTTAAACAAAGAATTGAACGAACAATTTCGTGAAACAATATAAAAGTTGTCGTGTATTCAGGCTCTTTGAAATAGAAAAGGGTGCAATATGTTACCTTCAGAGGTCCCTCAATCACCGAGTTACTGTGATTAGCTCAACCTGCGAGCAATCAACGTGTCACGTAATCTAAAAGGCTTCACGTGTCATTTAAAGGGGCTGGAAACTGGATTGGACAAAACTGGCTTTATGTCACGTGTAATATCCTGGAAGGAATGGCTGCAACTAGGTGTAAATAGTTCTGCAGTCATATTTTTGTCTGAATCATATTTCCAAATGCATTTTCAGAATGTTGTCCACGGCAAATTATGATTTATTTAAAGCAGACTTAAATCCAACTTTATGCTAAAGCATGCGACGGTGAAAACATTTACAAGTTCTATGTTGTGCCTGAGAACAGAAAGAGAGAAAACAATCACGGAGTGTCTTCAGCTTTTCAAGACAGTACTGTACACCACCTGTGCACCAGTCTATTTTAGGTTGCTTCACCTGGGTATGCCATTAGTAAAGGGAAGGGCAAGTGGATGCAATTACATCAAATCCAAGTTCATTAAAAACTGGATGTGACAGCCTCTTTTTGATTAAGCGAGTTCTTATATATGTGAAACTATAATTTTTTAGTTGTCAGACTGCTAAATCCAAAACCCAACTATCCAAACTACATGAGTATGCCCAACCTTGATATAATTTGGGGAGAAAAAAATCCCCCCACCTTAACCTTTATGCAACCAACTGAAGAAGAAAAGACCTGCTGCTTCTCTTTGAAAATCTCTTGAATTATTCACAGTGTCTCTGTGGCATTAAATGAAGAAAATGTCGCTCATATCTAATTCCCAGTGTAACATATCCTCACTCAACCTTCAGCCACCTTTTATTCTCAAAAATACCTTTGAGGAGGAGTGGCTTTGTTATTGTTGTTGTTTGTTTTTTTACCTAAGTTCGTCCTGTTGGGTAGTTCTCTCTATAAACATGACATTACGTGTATGTGTGTGTGTGCGTGTGTGTATGTGTGTGTCTGTGCATATACAAATGTGCATGTACACTTAGAGAGTGAGAATAGCTACAATAAAATTGTTAAACTATAATTTTCTGCCATTTTTATCTTCTTTTTACCTAATAACTTTGCACATTTGTTTCTAAACCGCCATTTTGGAAAATGAGACTTATTTTCTCCTGCTCTTGGTGACTACTATTCAACATCTACCTCCATCCTTTTTACTTTCTTTCTACATTGCTTTTCTCTGCCCTCTATCTTTACCTCTTACTGCCATGATTTCCTCTGACCTACTCTTTTTCAAATTTTCACTTGATACCTGTTGCTTCCTTTGCACACCGGCTGGCGGGTGTTTCAGGTGAATTCCCTTCGGTGCCTGGAAATGAATCTCAAATAGAACACTTTCAGTGGTGGTGCTTTAACTTTTGGTTTGGAATTAATTCCTTAATATTTATACATTCCTCAAAGCCCTTCATAAAAAAGAAAACAAATCTTTACTGTCAGTGCTGTTCTTAACAACTGAACATTGTAAAAACCTTATAGGTTTGGCTAAATATTGATGAATGAGTAGCCTAGGAAGAATGAAAAGCCACAGTGCCATAGCTGGCTGCTGTTTTCACTGGACTACCATTAAAACAGTGTTTTGTAAGCATGAAACAAAATATGTGTTGCATTTAAAACAACCCTGGCCAGGCTCATAAGACATCCCTTTTTATGATGCATTAGTCAGATGTATTGAAATGCTGCTTTTCACCTCCACAAAATATATTTTAAAAGCAGATGAATAAAAAATGCTTTAAAAGTGTGTTCCCTATAGATAATGAACCAACTCTGCTTTGAACTAACAATAATTGTTTTTTTGTTATTATAAGTAAAGCCAGGGAAAAAAGTAATGTGTGAGGAGGAAAACATCTCCCTGGTAACAAAGGCATTAAGGGAGGGGACAGTTATTTTCGGTGGTGTCATTTTAGCTCACCGTGTGCTTTCACCATCTTCCCAAATGTTAAATGGTGGCCTTTCACATACATCTGTCAGATCCGGATGAAAACTGATTAAGATGAACAGGTAGGTGGTCTTCTGTAATGTTCTGGAAGAGGAAAAGCAAGCCAAAAAAGCCTCGGTTAGATGCAACAGGAACCTCTCAGAGAATATCTCTCACAAACCAAAAGCAACTGACATCAATAAGATCGGGGATGGGTTTCACTTAGAGGGTGCTCACCGATCAGCAGACTCCAGCACCTAAAGTGAACAGAACCACTTGCAGACTGCACGTTCACAGTCTGTAGAGGCAGTCCATTAAGAGTCAGGGAGGAAAGTTAATTTATCAGAATTTTTTTTTTTTTACTGATTCTTTGACTACAGATGTCCCTGCATCGGAATACAACATTCTGGGTACGAGTGTAGATCAGGCTGGTGAAGGTGAAGCACAAGGCAATAAAGAGAAGAGCCTAAGCCTGCCTGGAACAGAGGACCACCAAACCTGCGATCACACAGAGTGACAGAAGAGAGAAGAGTAAGGGCCACACTTGTTATCTAAAGTCACACCTGAAATATTGTATCTTCTGCCACAAAGTGCTGATAGTTTTCAACTTTTGTGCTCTTTCTGCAATCAGATATCTTGGAGCTTCTCCTGGCTGATTTGATGAACCTCCCTACAGTAAAAAAGAAAAACAATTAATAAATCAATGTAAACAACAGTCTCAAACACTAAAAAACTGTGTTTTTAGATTACATGCCCCATTGAGTATAATTAAGAAATTATGTCTTTGTCATACTTGTGCAGCCTACTGCTTTTTTGTATCAATCATGCATGTTTTTTAAAATGTATTTCACAGTATATTTGAATCATGAGCTCTGTACAGCATTTTGAGGCTATAGTGGCACCATGCAATGCTCCTTCATTGAATTGCATAAAAGCACAAGTATATTTAAACGTCAAAGTCACTTCAACAAAGACATGATATTTTCTAAATTGAAAGGCTGGACTAATTGCCAGAGCAGCAGTAATGGATTTAATGTTTTTTTGGGCGTTTTTGGAAATTCTAATCTAAATAATACCATGGTAATGAATTTATTATCATGTGCAGCCTCTGTCAGACCCTTTTTACCACTTGTTCCAGCTGAACTTGAATTGATTAATGCCCGTTTTTGGTTTGCAAAAGTGCAATAACATATATATGTAGCATTTGCAAGTCCTCATTTCATAAACTTAAGCCTAGTAGTGATTCATTTAAAAGCTTGAAAACATTAGAATTTCTCTGTTGGATAATTTTCTGGAGCCTGGTAAATGTCACATTGCATTTCTCTATTGGTTCAGCTGTATCTGATTTCCTCCAATGCACCACCAGAGGCTGACTTCATTGCAACTAAATCCTCTGCTATGTTCATCACAAAACTAGTTCCTAACTTTTCAGTCGGCTGATTAGGTTTTATGTTAAAAATAAGCAGGTAATATTGGCACATTGTAGAAAGACTCGGGGAACAGTAGATCTCATTTAAAAATCCAGCAATAGCAAAATTGAAAATCTGATGGGCTGACTGATCTCCCACAGAGTTTATTCGTGCTGGTCACGGTTCACAGTACTAGACAATGCAGTGTTGCTTTATTGTACAGCAAATAGCAAAAGAAGACAATAATGAAAAATATTTCTGGGGGTGAGTGTGGCGCGATAGTGCCCCATGTTTCATAAATCTGCTTCCCCTTCATCAGCACAGTGCACTCTCCAGCAATGGAACTCTCATAGTTGTGAGCCAGTGGTTATGCATCAAGTCACTTTTATTAGCTAGCTGACAGCCACAGATCAGAGAAAGTTGGAAATGCAAACTTAATTGAACTGTTTTTTTTTTTTGCCATGAATAATTCTTTATGTCGTTACGTCATTTATTTTTCAGTAAATCCTGCTGTCATAATGACCTCCAAAAT